TTTATTTATTGTAGAGATGAGGTCTCACCAAGTTGTCCAGGCTGGTTTAACCCCTGGGGTCAGGCAATCCTCTCCCCTCCACCTCCCAAAGTGCTGGGATTATAGGCATGAGCCACTGTGCCCAACTCCTTTGCTTTCTAGTTTCTTTTTTTACTTTTTTATAGATAACTTTTTACCTTTATAATTTGAATTAACCCTTTAGTAACTTTTGATTAAGACAAGGCTATCTGTGCCAGGCATGGTGGCTCATGCCTATAACCCCAGCACTTTGGAAGGCAGATGCTAGAGGATTGCCTGAGCCCAGGGGTTCGAGACCAGCCTGGGCAATTGGGTGAGACCTCATCTCTACAGTAAATTAAAAAAAAAAAAAATTAGCCAGGTGTGGTGGCATGCACCTGTGGTTCCACCTACTTGGAAGCCTGAGGCAAAAGGGTCTCCTGAGCTAGCAGGTTGAGGCTGCAGTAGCTGTGAGTGTGCCACTGCCCTCCAGCCTGGGCAACAGAGTGAGACTCCAACATTAACAAAAAAAGAAGTAGCCGGGCTCAGTGGCTCAGCCTGTAATCCCGTGCCTTTGGGAGGCTGAGGTGAGTGGATTGCCTGAGCCCACGGGTTCGAGACCCGCGTGGCAACTTGGTGAGACCTCATCTCTACGATAAATCAAAAAATCAGCCGGGCATGGTAGCTCATGCCTGTAATTCCAGCTACTCGGAAGGCTGAGGCGGCAGGATCACCGGAGCCCAGCAGGTCAAGGATGCAGTAGCCGGGAGCAGCTACTGCACTCCAGTCTGGGCGACAGAGTGAGACTCTGACTCAAAAAAAAAAAAAAAAAATAGAAGAAGTTAATTTGGGCCAGGCACGGCAGCTCAAGCCTGTAATCTCAGCACTTCGGGATACCGAGGCAAGAGGATTGCCTGAGTCCAAGCATTCGAGACCAGCTTGGGCAACTTGGTGAGACCTCATCTCTACAATACATCAAAAATAAGCCAGGCGTGGTAGTTCATGCCTGTACTCCAGCTACTTGAAAGGCTGAGGCGAAAGGATCACCTGAGCCCAGCATATCGAGGCTAGGGTGGTCATGAGCTTGCCATCTCACTCCAGCCTAGGTGACAAAGTGAGACTCCAACTCAAAAAAAAAAAAAAAAGTTAATTTAGGTTCCAGTGCCCTAATATTCACCCTGGGGTTGTTGGAGTAAAGGTGAACCAATGCCATGCGCTTTAGTGGCTTTCCAGGCCTCCTCATTGACCACCATTCCTGAGTGAGATGTTCTGTCTTCAGAAGAAAACACCTGCTCCCTAGTAGCGCTCTGGATTGCATGGTGGACAAGGTACTGGAGGTTTAGACCTCTTTTGGGTAACTACACTTCAAGTGCCCCTGCAGTTTGTTCCCATAGCAGTGGACACCATTCCCCTTAGCAGGATTGTTCTTGCCCAGTCTTTGATGGGCAGCTGGAGTATTGTCACCAATGGTGACTGCTCATCGGGGTATCTCTTTGGGCCCTCTGGTTCTGCCACCCTTCATGTTGGCAGTAGATGTTGTTTCTCTAACATATCGGCTGAAAAAAACCTAAACTTTTTTTTGTAATTGGTTACTTGGTTCCTACTCTGCCCTCTCAAGTTGGGCATTTAATACTTTATAGAATATAATCTCGTTTGTAAAGTTAAGAAAACCAAGAAAAGCCAGGCTCGGTGGCTCAGCCTGTAATCCTGTGCCTTTGGGAGGCTGAGGTGAGTGGATTGCCTGAGCCCGCAGGTTCAAGACCTGCCTGGGCAGTGAGACCTCATCTCTGCAATAAATCAAAAAATCAGCCAGGCGTGGTAGTGCATGCCTGTAATTTCAGCTACTCGGAAGGCTGAGGCGGAAGGATCGCTGGAACCCAGCAGGTGAGGCTGCGGTGACCGGAAGCAGCCACTGCACTCCAGTCTGGGTGACCGAGTGAGACTCCAACTCAAAAAAAAAAAAACCAAAAAAAGAAAACCAAGAAAAATGTTTACACATATGAAACCTTCAACCATTTCTCTGCCTGTAATGGTCTGATATAAATCCCTTTAGAGTGAATAGATCACTTGAATATAAAATGATCTGTCCCTATTTTATTTTTTATTTATTTTTTTCAAGGTGAAGTCTCACTCCATTGCCCAGCCTGGAGTGCAATGGTACGCACTCCATTCCTTCTGCCTCAGCCTTCCAAGTAGCTGGAACTACAGGCACGCATTACCACACCCGGCTAATTTTTTATTTATTATACAGACAAGATCTCACCAAGTTACCTGGGCTGGTCTTGAACCCGTGGGCTCAGCAATCCACTCACCTCGGCCTCTCAAAGTGCTGAGATGACAGGCTGAGCAACCATACCTGGCCCCTATTTATTTTTAATTATGTACAGGCAAGTTAAGATTCTTTGAAGTTATGGTCTTTGTTGTGGTGAGTGTTGTGCCACACAGAGAGTACCCAGTATCTCCTCTGTCCTGCAGGAAAAGTACTGGGCTTAGTAAGTGACTGAATTAAGTGTGAGTGGCTAGGTCTCATATCTTATTGCATCATGCAGAGAGTATTCAGCATTTAAAACTACCTGTTCTGTGGGGTGGGGGAGGGAGCTAGTTGGACACAGTAAGTTGACTGAACTTGTTTTTCCCCCAAAAAGATTTAGGAAGCCTGAAGCAAATTAGAATGATAATAGGTTGTTTTTCCTATGAGTTGATAGAATTCATTAATTAATATGTGGTCCCTTTGTTTTTGTTTTGTTTTGTTTGAGTTGGAGTCTCACTCTGTTGCCCAGACTGGAGTGCAGTGGCCGCTCCCAGCGACCGCAGACTTGACCTGCTGGACTCCAGTGATCCTTCAGCCTCAGCCTTCCAAGTGGCTGGAACTATAGGCGTGCACTACCATGCCCAGCTAATTTTTTGATTTATTGTAGAGATGAGGTCTCGCCAAGTTGCCCAGGCAGGTCTCAAACCCATGGACTCAGGCAATCCACTCACCTCAGCCTCCCAAGGCACAGGATTATAGCTGAGCCACTGAACCCGGCTTATCCTGGTTACTTTTCAAAGAGGAGACTGATGAACAGGTTTGAGAGGTTTAAAGGTATATCCAGGCTGGGCATGGTGACTCACACCTATAATCCCAGCACTTTGGGAGACCAAGGTGAAAGGATTGCCTGAGCCCATGGGTTCCAGACCAACCTGGGCAACTTGGCGAGACCTCGTTTCTACAATAAATCAAAAAGTTAGCTGGGCATAGTGGCGCATGCCTGTGTTTCCAGCTACTTGGAAGGCTGAGGCAGAAAGATCGCCTGAGCCCAGCAGGTTGAGGCTGCGGTGGCCATGAGCATACCATTGCACTCCAGCCTGGGTGACAGAGAGAAACTCGAACTCAAAAAAAAAGAAAAGGTACGGTTGCTGTGGCTGCAGCTATCAGGGCTGCTGCCAGCTTGTTAGCAGGCCATGAAGTGGGAGGGGTAAGAGACTAGGGTTGGTGCTGGCTCCTCTCTGGAGGTAAGAGTGGGTATAGAAACGGAGGAAGGTGAAAGGAAGGAAGAGCAGGAACTGACAGGGTAGAGAGGCAGAAGCAGGTCATGAGAGTCGGAAGTCAAGTCAGCTGGCTCAGGGTCTGAGTTGTCAGAGGAAGGCAGGACGGGGATAAAGTAGAAGGAGCTAGAAGAAGTATGCCACAGGAAGAACAAGGGGTCTGGACGGTGTGCCATTTTGGATGCCTCAAACCATTTGGTCCTGTGGCCACAATAGAGGTTAAGTTGAAGGAGAGGGTTAGAGACAAAAGGCCCTCTCTGGGCCCACCTCCTGGTGGCCTAGCCAATGCTGAGGAGATGCTTAGGGCAGATGCTCATCTCTAGTGAGAGGGTCCTGAACCTGTTAGAATTTCAGTGGGGGACGCCCTTAGCTACCTCATATTGACGGTTTCCCATGAGGCATTCTAAAGGGGGAGAGGGATTGATCCTGAGAGTGGTTCTGAGGGATCAGAAAAGGAGAAACTCTATCCATGTCTTCAGTCAGCATCCCATGAGAGGAACAGTGGAATCGGCCTGGAGGTGTGGGAACTGGGTAGGAAAGGGTGTCCCCTTGACTCCCTCAACCCACTGGACGCAGCAGCGGGGCTGTCTCTACACATGTGTTTGAAAGACTTGGCACCGAGATTTCTGCAGAGGGGCCTGGAGTCCTAGGAAAAGCTTCCAAGCAGGGAGGTGGTGGCCTCCTCGGGTATACTTTCAGACCTTCTGGCAGGGGTGGTAGTTTTGGACTCACCTGTGATGTAGCTTTGTACTGGATAAAGCTGAGGCAACAATGAGAGGTAATATTTTGGTTTATTGTAGAGACAAGGTCTCCCTAAGTTGCCCAGGCTAGTCTTGAACCTCTGGGCTTAGGCAATCCTCTTGCCTCCACCTCCCAAAGTGCTGGGATTATAGGTGTGAACCACCACACCTGGCTCCTTCTCTGCCACTTCTTTAACTTTCCATTTCGGCCGGGCTCAGTGGCTCAGCCTATAATCCCAGCGCTTTGGGAGGCCGAGATGAATGGACTGCCTGAGCCTGCGGGTTCAAGACCCGTCCGGGCATCTTGGCGAGACCTCATCTCTACAATAAATCAAAAATTAGCTGGGCGTGGTAGCGCACACCTGTAATTCCGGCTCCTCGGAAGGCTGAGGCGGAAGGATAGCTGGATCCCAGCAGGTCAAGGCTGTGGTGGCCAGAAGCATGCCACTGCACTCCAGTCTGGGTGACGGGTGAGACTCCAACTCAAAAAAGAAAAAAAAAACTTTCCATTTCTAGAAATGTATATGCACAGTTCATCAAAATAGAACTGTGCGGTACTGAAAATATATAAGAATATGCAAAAATAAAATTGTGAAAAAATTCTGAAGGTGACCTTGAAAGGGCCAGATGGACAAGAGGAGCTGCCAGCATGTCCAAGTGTCTCTGACTGTATGATGATGGGGTGGAGAAAAGTTGAACTTTATACCAATGCAACTGGATTTTTTTCTTTGTCAGATGTGGCCCCATGGTGCTGGATGCTTTAATCAAGATTAAGAATGAAGTTGATTCCACCCTGACCTTCCGAAGATCATGTAGAGAAGGTGAGTGTCTCATTCCTGTGGGCCCCAGGCGTTGTCTTCTGGTTCTCACAGCAGCTTGGGCTGGCCAGAGCCCATGCTGGGGAAAGCTGCACTCTGTGCCGTGTGACCCTGCCTTGCCTCACAGTTCCTTTTCCTGGGTAGACTTGTCCAAAATTAGAGCCATGGTGCACACTCTGGTTTCTGAGTTCACTTCCCTCTGGGGACTTTTTGTCATGTGGTGTCTGCATCTGGCAGCCCCATGAGCTTCTTCAATTTCAAAGCCTGGCTTGGACGTGCTGGCCGAGCGGCAGAGAGTTTCTAGTGGACACTTAGGCATAGGCACCTTGTCCAGCCAGCAGGCGTGTGTATCTCCCTTCGGCTCCAGCATGATGTGTGCACAGTAGCTGTGTTCTGGATCTGCAGGACAGTGTCTCCCATGGTGTGGTTCCTTGCACTGTTGGTGCCACGTGAGCCATTGGAGGCAGTGCACAGGCAATGTTTTCTACGTTAACAGCTGTGGATTTCTTTTAAGTATTAGAAAGATAAACTTACTAACAATAACATAAAAGGAATATACATGATTTTTTTTTAACATGAATTTAAGTAAAAACGAATTGATTTAGAGAAACTCCTCAGATGTGGCAGAACTCATACGGGGTACCAGGAAGGACTACATGCCAGACTCTGCCCTGTGTACATTGTGTGAGGTGGATGGGTGCGATTATTATTTACCCTTCATGTATCGATGAGGAAACTGAGATGCAGGGAGGTTAAGGGAGTTGGCAAGGACATGTAGATGTTGGTTCGGGAGCCAGGAGTCAGCCGGACCCATCAGACTGTAGAGGTGTACGCTCAGGAACTACACTGACTTTGAACACCTGGCATGAAACAGACAGGATAGCATGGTTCCAGAGGACCTGAGCCTTATTCCTAGTACGCCCTTCCAGAAGGAGAACGTCAGCGGAGGTATTGGCCCACCGCTTTTTGCCTTTGTTCTGCAGCACGTTTCCAGTATTTAAAGTCCTACTTTTGAGACATCTGTTTTAATTCAGCCCATCTAATTTAGTTTAGCAAATGGTACCAGCTATGATGGTGGTTTGGCCAAATCCTGCTGTTCAAGGAATATCCTGCTACAGTTAAACACCAGCCTTCCCCATGTAAGTCCTGGTGACACAGAAAATGCGATGCTTTTCAGTAACCTTTTCCTGTGGGACTCTCAGCCAGAAACATAAGGTATGGTTCATCTGGACCAAAAAACAGGCAGGGCTTGGTGGCTCAGCCTGTAATCCCAGCACTTTGGGAGGCCGAGATGAGTGGATTGCCTGAGCCCGCGGGTTCAAGACCCGCCTGGGCAACTTGGCAAAACCTCATCTCTACAATAAATCAAAAGTTAGCCGGGTGTGGTAACGCACACCTGTAGTCCCAGCTACTTGGAAGACTGAGGCGGAAGGATCACCAGAGCCCAGCAAGTCGAGGCTGCGGTGGCCGGGAGTAGCCACTGCACTCCAGTCTGGGCGATGGAGTGAAACTCCAACTCGAAAAAAAAAAAACGAGGCAGGATTGTATTCACTGACACTCCTTTTTATTACCGTATTTTTTTATTGAGAAAAGTTCTCAGGGAGACTTTTTAAGAAAAGTTCATTGTGTTTCTTTTTTAACTCCTGTGCCATTTCTTTCTGTTTGTTGTTTTTTGGGGTTTTTTTGAGTTGGAGTCTCACTCTGTTGCCCAGGCTGGAGTGCAGTGGCATACTCACAGCCACCGCAGCCTCAACCTGCTGAGTTCAGGCGATCCTTCAGCCTCAGTAGCTGGAACTACAGGCACACGCTGCCAAGCCCAGCTAGTTTTTTTGATTTATTGTAGAATTGAGGTCTAAGCCGGGCTCGGTGGCTCAGCCTGTAATCCCGCGCCTTGGGAGGCTGAGGTGAGT